GATGTGTGCATTCTTGCTTTGAACTGAGCTGGGAATAGGAGAGGTTAAACAGTTAACAGCATTGCCTTTAGTTCTACAGCCTTAAAGAAACAAAGCCTTGCTCCCACCAAAGAAATATTTTTTTTAAAATATATTTTATTGATTTTTTACAGAGAGGAAGGGAGAGAGATAGAGAGTTAGAAACATCGATGAGAGAGAAACATCGATCAGCTGCCTCCTGCACATCTCCTACTGGGGATGTGGCCGCAACCCAGGTACATGCCCTTGACCGGAATCGAACCCGGGACCCTTCAGTCCGCAAGCCGATGCTCTATCCACTGAGCCAAACCGGTTTCAGCCCAAAGAAATATTTAACATTCTTCCCAGCACATCCAGAGCCTCTTGAAGCATCACTTATTGGGCCCAAGGATCCAAGGAGATGGACCATAATCTCAGTTAAGCAGTGGTTCTCAGGCTTTAGCATCCATCAGAATAATTTGGAGGACTGTTTACACAGATTGCTGGGCTTTATCCCCAGAGTTTTGGATTCAGTAGGCCTGGAGTAGAACCCCAATATTCATTTCTAATGAGTTCCCACATGATACCGATAATGGTGTTTTGGGGACCACACTTTGAGAACCACTGGGGTCATAGATATAGTAGAAGTATGAGTAATCTGACTCCAGAGAGAAACATGCGCAGAAATCTTTTCACTGAAGTGAATTGCCTGATAACCCCTGTAAAAATGAGGGCTTCCTATTCTCAGCCCCCATGTTTTCTACTCTGCACTGCCCTTTTCTTACTTTTTAAATTTATTGGTTGGGGAAATGGTTTCATGAAGTTGTTTTTAAATTTTATGAGCCTGATAAAATCTATAGACACTCTCTCCAGAAAAGCCCATTTACACATTGCTTATAATTTCAGGAGGCTCTTGACACCTCCTCCACCAGCCCACCCGCTGACCCTCAGAAGTATCAGTAAAAAACGTATGCCCTAAGGCAGTCTTGAGTTTACTCAAATTCCCTTCTCATACTTTAACCTTTGGATTAAATATATTCATCTGTAAAATAGGAATAATAGTAACAATTCTTATCTCCAAGATTATGAAAATTAACTGATTAATACATGGAAGAGCCTAATTTGAAAACCAAAACCACTGAATGTTACCTTTTTCTCTCTCTTTGTAGTCCTGCTACAACAATCCTCATTCCTGAGGCAAAAGGGTGCTTCTCGCTACTAGGGGGAAAAGCAGGAACTGTAAGAAAGAATAGCCCAAAGAGTAATATTACAAGATCTACTCTGTGCCCATTGCATTCTTTTGCTAAACTCTGGTCAGTCTGCCATATTATGGTTCCTTCTGTGAGTCACTGAGCAATGGCGTCTAGTAAACCCCAGGCCTGGCTCTGTGACCTGAGACTCTCAATAATTCATTTATCCTCAAATATTCCACTTTGCCCAATGTTTTCTCATGTCCCCATATTAATGCCTCTGGACAGAAAGACAGAAATGTAAAATTCTAATAGGGGTTCATTTCCAGACTAAAAGACACTGAGTCTTGAGAAATAGTGATTAAAAATTAAGCTTAATTCTCATTGTTTCTGTAAAAATAAATGAGTATGGTGATAGGCTAATCAGCAGACATTTATTTAGTTCCTACTGTATACACTGTGCAAGAGATGATACAAAGAGGAATAACACATACTTCTATGCTGTGCCGACTCACAGTCCAATAGGGAAGATAGGCACAGCAAAAATAAACCAAACTCAAGTTGAACCATAGCAAGGACAATGATTATTCACACAGCGTTTCAGAAGAAACCAATTTTGACAGGGATCCATAAAAGTCTCCTGAGCAATGTGAGATTTAAGAAGGACTTTCTAGTTTAGGGGAACAGTCTGAATTTCTAGTTTAGGGGAACAGTCTGAAGAAAAGCATGGAATTAGAAAAAAGCTTGGTATAAATTTATGATATTATGATTTAGCCAGTGTGACCATAGTATGGGTTTGGGATGAAGGTTTAGAACTTGAGGCTACAAAGATAAGATGGAAGCATGTTGTATCCTCTCCATGCAGTGAGGAAGAATTGAGGTCTCTGAGTATAGAGATACCCAAAGCAGGTCTGTTTTTATAACATAGAATCCTGGTGGCACTGAGAAGAATAGACAATAGAGGGCAAGGATAAAGCAAGACCTGGTGAAGGTAATGGGGATCTGAACGAAAGGCAGAGCAGTGGGAGTAGCATGAAGGGGATGAAGAAGAGAGGCATCTGAGAGGCTGCATTCATTTCAGGATGGTAGATGACATGTAGCAAAGAAAGCGGAGGCAAGCTGAGCGGGCTCCCCCAGGCCAACTTGCTACATAAAGCAGACCATGGTCTCAGAGGAAGAGACTGTCCAGGTGGCAAGGGGTACCTCTTGGTCATCTCAAGAAGACTTCTCCTTCCTAGAATGCCCAGAGGGAGAGCAGCTTGACCATGTGCTTTGCCTGCATGAAATATCAAAATCAGTGATTCCAGACATGG